CCTCAACGACGCTACTCCTCCCTGTGATGCATCCAAGGTGTAGTCTTACACCTCATTACTTTGATCGATAGGACATGAACTGCTTCAAGCCATCCAGACCGGCTCATCACAAAGGAATGATCACTGAGTCCAGTGATCGCCATCGATGACGATGCAAAAAACACTCCTATTCTGAAGGACGTCCAGAATCACCAACGTGACCGACAAGCCAGGAGGTAGTCGCACAAGCGCCCAAATTTACCAAACTTTGATGCGTGGTAGATACTTGTATATTTCGGTCACATTGAACATCGGATTGTAAAACAACAACAATGCTAAATCAAAATCCTTTAACCGGTAGTAAAAGAACCTATGGCAAGGCAAAGTAAAACACGGGGCAGTAATTGCGATAAGTCGATACTTGTACAGTACATATGGCGATGAACATTGGAACGTGCAACAAAGAAAATATTATACGATTCGCTCGAAATAACATTATTTGAAACGACTTATTATGTGGACAAATTGCATCGTTTGCGAAAGCAATCAGTGAAGATCAGGACTGTCTCAATGAGATAACTGAGAAAACGATTTGATAATTAGAAGAGCCATCTGAATGCTCGGCGCACCACTGCTGGCACTGATGACCATTCGAACGTGATGATCTTGTCGTCACCAGATTTTATAGTAGCCTGAACCAATTCATTCATAGCAGTTCCCTGACACCAGAAAAAGCCGTACTTTGAAAGAGTGCTGAAGCAACTCACTTTGTACTTCATTTTCTGTTGAGACGGATCAGCATCAGTTCGCATGGATCCTGCTGCTTGTTGCGCATTAGCATGAAGATATTGTGATAAAAGCTGGGCTATGCGGTCGAATCTGAACTTCATACTTCATTCTTAGCTCTTTTCGACTAGAAATTGTGGTCTGGTAGGAAAATGTACTAGGAAACTTACGAGTTGGCGGCATTTACACAAGTGTTCGGGTCAAGTGGATCTCTGGTCATTCCATACGGACATGCACAGTAATGACCACCCGGGATATTAACACATCCATGAGAGCAACCACCATTTCCAACCGCACACTCATCCACATCTAGGTAGGTTAGAGAAATAATGGATGCATGGCTAAGTAAATATACCTCTCTTAAGCAATGATTCTGACAAAGCACCTACCGTAACATTGTCCTTTCATGTGTACATAACCGAATGGGCATCTGCCTGCATGTGCCTTTGACCTGAAAGTAAGAAGTGTACTAAACTGATAAATGGATATAAAGCATTAATGACGTACTTTGCATGGACATTCATCAGCTGATGCAGGCGGAAGTGTCGAGATCGGCCGATACTCGTCCACGACAAGATCACAAGATGGTCTCAGAATAGCTTCACCTCGATCACACAAGCAGTTACACGGCGCCATTTTAACTGGCTCGTAATTATCGGGTGCAGTTGTGTCTGAAGAAGTTGAAGCTACTATTCATTAGATCAAAAATCACACAGCCGTTGCTTACAAAACCCAACCCAATCTAAAATGATAGGAAAAACACACTTTGATCGAGCAGCACCGGTGCACAACTGTCGCTTTCCGGTGAAAGGGTTGAGATGTTGTTGACCAGATGAGATGCGATCACGCAAACCACATATTCATGGTCCGTCGGGAGATTCTGCAAAAATAAACTTACACAGCTCTGATTTATAATACTCGCGGTTGAGCGAGTCAATGCTACGAATCTTTTCGCTATGTGAATTCAGATACATACCAAAAAAGTAGAGGCATCTAAATGGTTTAAGAATGCAAAGGCAACTCGGCGGAGCTTGAGGCATGTTTCATGCTTGCAGTAAAGGGAATTGTGAGGTTTAGATACAGAGTCGCCCCTTAGTGAAGAAAGCACCAAGAAAAATGAAATAGTCTAAGGTTCACTTTATTGGCAGCTGATTTTGAGATTTGCGCAAATACGCAGAAACATTAGGTGCCCAGGTGTCACAGACTCGAAGAGGCGAGAGAGAGAAAGGACGAGCAAAAATAGCTTTGAGTCACAAATTTGGGGCGGTTTGGGGAGGCAACCCCTCCAGCTTCGCTCTCAAGGATTCGATCAAATCAAGTGACTGTGCAGTAATTTGTTCTTTAGATTTATGATAGAGTTATGATGCGCGAGACGTTAAAAGGAAGAACTGAAGCAATGAAATCAAAAATCCTGTACTTTTGTTTTGTAGTACGCGGCTGCCAGCGACCGACCTGTACGCACCTCGCTGGCTCATCTTCCTCTTTTATCAACATCTGCTAATAAGTTGCAGGAAATAGTGAGCTAATAGCGACTGGTCGCGGACTCTGACGCCAGCTTAATGGAGTCATGAGGGTCTTAAAGTGATTGATTGGCAGCTATCACAGTTAAGACTGGCATTAGGACACAACTGTTATGAGCATTAGCCCTCTGTCGATGAGGTGAGTCTAAGTTACGATAGTTCGGAGCTAAGGAGAACTCATATTCCATTTGGTCTCAGGTAGGAACAGCTTCGAGTTATTGTCAGCGATCACAATTTTAGAACAGTGCTTAGTTTCGGGCACTGTTTCATAAAAACAACGCGCATCATCCTTTAACTAGGCCGCATCTCCCTCAACTAGAGCAAAGGATTGCTGCGCAAAAACTGGATTTACCGATTTCTGGTGGAGAGACAGACAGCTTACCTCTATAGATGTTCCAAAACTGTCTCTGCAGGTAGCAGGTCGTTGTTGCCAGTGTTTACGCGGAATAGAGATGTCATGTGTATATAGTATTGTATAATTCTAAAGAAAGTGGTTAGTGATAATACAGTTTGAGAAAAGAAAATGAGTGGTGCCCTTTGCGTACCGCTTTCCTGTTCGTGCAGCAAGTCCAAGACACTGAGAACGATGTTGGCGACAATGGAACTGCTTCAACATTCGTTGGTACCGATAGGGCAACCGGAGCTGCTGCAAATAGCACTCGTTTATTCTTAGTGAACAACACGACGATGATAATAACTGCTTAATTTTATTGTACTTACTTGTAGTTTTTCTAGCATGAGTACTCTTTCCTTTAGTTGTTGCCACACTCGTCTTGGTGGTGGTTGCAGTGACATAGTCACAAATTGAGTATGCAAACCAACTATTGAAAAGCTCATTCGGAGATGTCCAGTCAAGATGAATTACCCTGGAAACTCACATATTTGTGAAATGATAACATAAATATTAAATGTCATGGTTCAAGTTCGTGAGGGGGGAGGCTGGTAACGACCAAAGAGATGTTTCACCTCGTTCCTGATCCAGTCATCTTTGTCAGAAGATCGGTGGATGGCTTGCGAACAGATAATCCAATTATACTGTGTCCGAAGTCCCCAGCAGCGAATTCCGCCGATGGGAGAGCCTGGTCGCTGAAGAGGAAGAAAAAGAGATTGGCGGAAAGCGTAAAAACTTATCAAGCTCAAAAAAGCACCTGCTAGTACTATCGGCGCTGATGATAAGCATAATCCTGAAGGAGCCACGGATGTAGTTCTCATTGGACATTTCAACAAGGCTGTCAATACCCACACCCAATTTAGGCTGACTCGTCGTCGTCTCTGAAAAGGTCCTGTGCAAGGTCGTCAAAAGATTTAGGTAAGGTGAACTCACATATTTTGAGTGATGTCGTTTAGGCTATAGCTCACTTCGCCAACCATTAGACTCGCACGAGCATCCAACACCTTCTTGCTGTTCACCGTCATGATATTGAAACTGAAAACGGCGAAAAATGACAAAAATTTGTTGTACAGGTTGAAATCGCTACGACACTTACAGCAACATGTTGTCATCAGGTGCAAAACGTTTTTGGAAGAATTGCGACAGGTGGTCCAGGGCGAGACGGAAGTCCTGAAAACACACATTGAAATGGTGCACTTCAAACGAGGTAAAATACTACCGCTCAAACCTACCTCAGGAGACGAACGAGCGGTCACGTCTACCAGGATGTTGAATTGATATGGTCTCTTAATCCCGTCACTGCAGAGGGGTGGGAATTTCATTGCATGTGGACCACCCCATGGATATGGAGTGTAACTGAAAACAAACACAATTGAAGCTTTCACGCCAATAGTTCTACTGAAAGAGAACGAACCTGGCAGCCGAAACATCTCTCTTGGTGGTGCGACGGAATGGTGTTTCAGTTGGAGTAATGCCATGTGCTGGAGTGGTGTAGCCACAAAGGTGTCGGCTTATAGCTGCTGCTTGGTCATCAAGTTCGAAGGCTGTCGCCACCTCATACACGCGATCAGGATACTCACTTCCTAGAATAAGTTCCACATCTATCCGATCAAGAACTAGGAGCACATGAGAAGAGGGTTTACCACTTAGGCAGAGGGAAAAATGTTGAGGATCAAAAGAAGTAGTGGAACTGGCGTAATGGCTAGTGACACTGATTACACGCACACGGCCAAGAGATCAAATCTCGCCTCATACCTCTGCCTGACCACCTTTCCTCGCTGGCAGGCTCTAAGCGTTCCAGGGGAGGGAAAAAGCAGAGCGTTCAAGTTCATGATGTCAGCACCGAGATGACTCGTCCAAATCGGAAATCAACTAGGAAAACAAGAATCCCGCTCTGCAGGTTTTGGAGCTTTTTCGAGGTTTTCCTCACCACTGCCTCTACCTGCCAAATCCATCTGTGAACAACTTCTCGTGCCCTACGCCTTCCAAGTCACACTCAGTACGAGGAATAAGCCTTAGGGTTAGAGAAAGAAAGAGAGGCAGACTCTGGGACACGTAAGCAAATCCCATATCCCCATAGTTCCTTCCTTTTAAACTTTGTCCCTTCCTTTGCACCATCCCACAAGTATTAAGGAATAATATGTAAAATGGTAGTTACTAATTCAAATAGCATCTTCTTGGGTCAAAGTGCTCCCTGCGTGGTGTTTATAAAATATGTTGACATGTTATGGCGTGCAGGCTGTGATACTTCGGCGCCCAAGGCGTAAAGAAGGCGCCTCTACGTGTTAGGATAGCACTAATGTTATGGTGTTTGATGTTTAGGCCAATTATTACATAAAAGTATTGCTAAGCCAATTGTTGCAGGCAGGGTTCGTTTGAGAACTGTACCTGCAATGCGTTTCAATGTTGCAAGTCCTTCGGCATCAGCTGCAACAGCAAGAATGAACAATTGGACGTTGTAAATATTTCGAAGATCCTCCGCTGCTGGTGCTGCATTTCCCCTGCAAAGGCATCACCTTGATCATGCGCAAAAAGTTTTGGAAATTCAAAATACTATAAGAAGAAACATGTGGATACCTATTTCTTCCATTGGTTATCATTATTACGATACGAGTAGCATTTTCTCTTCCGTGCAGCTGAAGTTGTTTAAGAAAATGTTGAGAAGATGTTCAAGTGAATTTAGTTGCAAAAGAAGAGCTCAAACCTGGAACTGTTGTCGAGCAGCATTAAGGCCATAAAGGGCGATGGCCACTCCGTCGTTGATCTTTTCCGTGTCCGAAATTTGCTGGATCAAGTCAATGTTGTCCTCGTAATGACCGAGCGCAACCGGAACGGCTACCTTGTCACTAAAAAGCATAGCTTGTTTCACATTTGCTAGCAATTCACTACCATGACACAGTATCAATCTGGCCATCCCATGAATTAACACCCTCCTACTGTCGGTCACAATGATAGACGCTATAAAATGCCGGTGGTATTGCTTCTATTGCTCCAGTCTGATTATGAGGAGAGAGGCCACACTCAAAGAAGCACTATTCCCAATTTTATTTCGCAGGATATTATCGAAGTTGGAATAAAAAAGGATCTGAGCCCATTTTGTAGTCTTCAATATTCTCAATTTGTACAACGTATGTGGCTGGAAATTATTCGGAAAGGTAGGGACGGTTGGAGGAAGGTCCGATGAGTATGATGTACACTGAAGAACTTCATCTTTGAAAGCTTTTGTTTTATTCAAACCAAGATAACCAAAGAAGAGCAGTGTTCGGAAACGATGATTTTTGTCGCCAGGATATTATAACTTCTTAGCAATCTATCTGAATACATTATAATATTGGGGAAAATTGAAAATGAGGTATTGTAGGGCAGACATGTGTCTCCAAGTACCACAGTCCTGGGAAAAGACATGCATTTACTGGATTTAAGACCACAGGCAAGACCTCTACAATGATATTTACCAACCCTGTGCTTAGTGGTCTAGGTATGCAATTTGTTGTGTATAAATATTGTTGCGATGTAACCTTCTCGCGCGATCATGTAATGAAAAAAACAGTGCCTGTTGAAGATAGCATGGATATTAGGTCTGATCGAAATGTTCTGCAGTTATTTGAGTCAAAGACTTTCCAAGGGTTTTCAGCTTTCCCGATGATTTCTAGGTCACCTGTATCCCATATTCTCCCACTGACTTTGACAGTATAACATTTGCATATGTGTTTGAGTAAGGAGCTTACACCCGAGCGAAAGAAGATAATTGATCCTGCACGTGTGCGAGTTCGGTTCGAAACCAAATATTGTTATAAGCTGCTTTATCGAATCAGTAAATATGGGGTGAAGTCGTGCTTGAAATTGGAGCGGCCCTAGAACGTTTGCCAAGTGAGAGTCCTTCACCGAAGATTAGAGTGGTCAGCAAAAAGCTGGCTGACCACAAGAAATCTAACGACAAGCTGTTTGGAAAAGATTTCTTCATTGAAGCCCCATTACCGAAACAATGACATTGCCGATCAAGTTCGTTAAATTTTCGGAAACATCAACTACCTTACACATTTAGAAATTATCTCAAGTTAGAAGGGGTCTATTCCATTTAGGGGAGGGCATCATGATGCAGTTTCTCGGCGAACTAGTGTGAACTCGAACATTCCAGCTTTTCACGCATGTCAAGTGACTGCCCTCACCCCCACCCCCGTAGACTGGCTACACTCCCCTGGCTCGGAGTTACCCTAGCTTTCTGCATAACTGCATGCTGCCCTAACTGGAATAGACCCGGTTAGAATGAGATGCTAACCATAAACAGCGTATATCGCCGCACTCCAAAATTGAACCACTTGTGGGCATGATTTTTGAGAATCTTTTGTTGGTGGCTGGTTTGTGGCAATAAGGAATTTTTCGGGGTGCTAACTTAGTTGGGGGGGGGGGCACGCGGCGGCGCGGCAGTCTGCTCGCCTGGCATGTTCGGAAATCCGTGGGCCAGGGGGAGTGTAGGCAGTCTAGGGGGTGGGGGGGGGGGTGGGGGCAGTCACTTGACATGCGTGAAAAGCTGGAATGTTCGAGTTTACACTGTCTCGCTCGAGAGAGCCCAGGTGAGCAGACTGCCGCGCCGCCCGCGCCGGGCCGCGTGCCCCCCCCCCCCAACTAAGTTAGCACCCGATTGTTGTGCATAGCTCGAAGTGTTAAACACTATGAGATAGCAAGGGTTAAAATAAGTAAATGTGCTGGGAAACGCGGGGCGACGGTTTTTCATCGGACTATTCAAAGTGGATACAGGACTCGTCAAAAACAATTAACGAGATTTTCTAATGTACAGTGTAACACTTCGGCCATATCGGCCAAAATTTCGTTTTTAACAATTTACGCTTCATTTGGTCCACTCGTGCTACGATGTTTCGTATTAGTTGAATATCTGGGCATTTCATGCGAAAGATGGGAGGTTGAGACATTCATCATAACAGACCATATGACAGAGTGTAGCAAAAGCGTTTTAGGCTTCCAGATACCTAAATTAGTCGAGATTTCGAATAGTGGAACTTACCTATAGACCACGAAACCAATTCTGGCGACATCTGGTGAGAGATCGAATCCTGCATCAACCAATTCGGCGACACTCTCCTTCATTTTGTCGAATTCCTCTGGCGAGAAATTTTCAGAGGAATCTAACATGATGATGACATCAGCCTGAAACAATTGATTGTTATTCCATTATTGGATGAGCAGTAGTGCCTGAAAAATTACCGGATAGTCAATTTGGTTGCAAGATCGAGCAGGCATAGATGACTGAGTAATGATTCTTCTTGTTGGCCATGTAACAGCGCTTGAAGTATCGGCTGGAGCGATCTTCAACGAAAACAGTTTAGTAAACCTGCTCTCAGGTATTATGCATATTATCAGATGTCCGCTATATCAGATGCAATGAACACCGCTATCTGGGTGTACAATAAAAAAAACTTGACCCTAATCAAAACGCTGTAAGGATCCACTCACCTTGCAGATGGCGTCAGCAATCGGTCCCAAAACTTCCGAATCAGTTCCTCTCCATCTTGGAATGCGAATAATCTTGTCCTTGGAGGTTATTTGTGAGTCTTGGTCAAAACTTGCGTCATCACCAGCTTCAACCACGAACAGCTCAGCTCCAATATCACTTTTGAGAGCTTCCACTTCTTCATGGAAATCATCTCTGAAAATGATGCAATACCATACAATTGTACTAAGAAGCTAGCTCAGAAAAAAGGTCTTGAAGCGTTTTCATTCGCTTCCGCTGTCTGCTTCATTTTGCACAGGACGCGCTGTGCTACCATTCGCTTTGCTCTTATGGTTAGGGCGCATTAATAGTTGACCGTCCGATCGTAACGACCGCACAGCATTAGATGCGTATCGATCGTCAGACGTGTCCGAAGATTGGGCGTTCGAGACGTACCTAACGCTGTGCGATCGTTGCGACGGCCGACTATGAATGCCCTCTCACATACTGCGAAAGCAGAACTGATGGTGTTACAGGACTACACAGATTACTCCTTATTGGTTGCGTAGTCGAGCCATGCTGTCCGATTTGCGCCAGAGATGCTCTTACACGGTAACCTTCAACGCATGAGTTATGATTGTCAGGTGAGCCCGCTGATTTCTCGAATACGGTAGAAGCGAAATGTATGAGGCGACTTGGGCCGATGTCATAGTTTGCGAATCGCCAGATCCGAGCGTCGCGCCAGCGAATCGAACTTTGGGCCAGCGAGCAGGGTCAACCCTACGTTGCGCAAAGAACAACGAGGGGGTCGTATTCAGCCGAACGAAAGGGGGGGGGTCGTATCCAGAGACGGGCTGCAAGACGGCTTGAAAAGTGCAGTGTCCGGCAGTGCACTTTCACGCCTCTAATGTTCTCCAGGAGCTCTGCACCGTGCAGCTGTCGGAGAGTCACACAGACAAGAGCTCCATGGGAGCATTAGAGCATGCAGAGCATTATAAGTCTCACTTCAGCCATTATTATCCTTAATACACGGACGGCGCTTTCGCTCGACAGCATAGATCAAGATTACAATAGCCAAAAACTTTGTTACAGCGTAGTGCAAAAACATGGTCTGTCTTCGATGATCGAACATTCCTGAAATCCCAAGGAGAACAAAGTGTAGAGCAGTTCATGGGAAGTGAAACAAGAGTACCATATAACAGTACAATGCAACTCAATCACGATACTAACACCTTCTTCAGGAAAATGGAGGACTTTCAAATGCGAGTGCGACTTCTATCCACAGACAGGTGCACGGCGTACACCCGAGCAGGCGTCTTCCCACGAAAAGTTTTTATTTTTATATGTGTTGTTAGAATCTTTTTTTACTGTCAGGGGCCGTAAGCAGACAAACTTCCTCAAGAAAATTTTGATGCTTTTAAATCAAATCTAAGCGGAACAAAATGTAGCGAACTTGCTGAATTGAATTTCAAAGACCCCTTATGAAATTGAAGCAGAAGAAAGAATTCCATGAAAAGTTAACGCTAGTAATAAAGTACTCTTCGCGTAGATTCTAACGGTCTTTACCGCTTCTCATTTTATGAAGTTTGAAGGAAGTTATGGGTTCTTGAAGATTGCAATGTCGCGGTTCCAGGAAAAGGCTTGAAAAAAGTCATGAAAAAACGGAACAACGGGACTATTTTTTGAGCGAGTGATTTTTCAAAAAAGTTTCAGCACTTATTCGAAAGCTCTAATCTTCTAGTTTCTAATTAGCCTTAGACATCTGCAAAAAGTTGATATGAAGAAAGTTATGAATGTTTGAATGTCGAAAACTCGCGTGTGCACAAAAAACGGAACAACGGGACGATTTTTTTGAAATATTGAACATCCGCAACATTTCAAATACTTTTTAGGAAGAAAACTATTTATT